AATTGATTCGTATGTAGTCAGTTTTGTTTCCCGTATAATTTTACAAATAATGACGTATTGTAATAAATCCCAACTAATATTACCTAACGTGAACGAGTTCGGTAGACCGGAGTTCTCGTACCAAAACCTGTCTCCCTTTTTCAAATCGCTAAACGTCTTGGCTATGATGCACCCGAAAGTCGGTCCCACGATGCTGTCGTCAATGGACCGTTCCGACACGCCCGCCGACCACAAGTCCACGTCCTCGGGAGTCGTGTAGAGGTCGTAGTACGCCTTCACCGTGGCGTTACTGATGTCCGTCAGCATCGAGCTCCACGTCTTGATTGCCGGTAGCTTGCAGTATTGCCGCCAGGCCGAATAGCTGGGTATCCCGTGTTCCCGTGCCCGTTGGATGTTGATGGACGCCAAGTCCTTGCCATAATCGTTTGCCGGTTCCTGGAACAGGTGGTTGGTGACCTGCGCCATCCGTCCAACAGATCCGCGGTATTAGTCAACGCAGTCAACACTATCGAGGTGTACGGTTATTATGGTAAATATCATACGCTCGCTCGTGTTATTATGTTAAGGACCAAACAMCTATTGGCGGTACCAATAACACCTACCCATCTATATCGTTTATTATAATTTATTTTAATTTACGATCGTACGACGACATAGGCACCTATAATGTTTATCTATCGTGTTGCGACAACCATAACCGAGTAAATAATTAATTCATTATCATCAGCGGTTGCAAATAAATTATTTGGCACATATTTCGTATGAGTTAGTTGTATACATTTTCCCATCGAAAACTCTATATTTTATTATACATAGATATCACAGAAGTCTTTAATGTAAATTTATTTACACATGTTTATATATTAAACACATATTATCATACTCGTTGGTTAAACTAAAATGTTAAGTTATTACAAATTGATAAATAAATTACCAAACAATTACTTGTTAAGAAAACACAATTCAATAAGATAATTATGGTTCACAGGATATTGAAAAAATAAATCACGACTTGTGTAACGGCAATTCAGTAGTACTTCACCGAATAAAATATGTTTTAACTTTCATCTTAAAAGTATAAGTTAACTATATGTCATATTTGAAAATGTATGGTTTGTTAAAAAAATTTTGTGTAGTCAACATGTTTGATAATGACAGTTGATATTATACGTACAATAAGCAATAAATATTTATGTGTGACTGGTAAATTTACCGTAAAGACTCCGTAATCTCTCTGTAATGTGCAGTACACGATAAAATCGAAATTTTCCAGTTGGAAATTACCACTTGAACATGGTGTGATTATTTGCGATTAGAAATTAAAATGAGCTGTGGACGTACAAATATAATACCTAATGTTCATATCAATATTGTAAGTTTTTTGGTATCAACTATTGTTGTACCTCCTGCAACTACGTTAGAAATTAAAAACATATATTTCCGGTAGATAAGTAAATATATGGTGAGATATTTCACCAGTTAACGAGATTTATCAGTCAATGATTATTACCAAATAACTTTTGCATGCATTCCACAACTGATGTTTTATACATGAATTGGAATATAAATCACAAATCAGTTTGTTAGCTTTTTCTTTTCAAAAAAAATGTGTTACCTGTAGAACAGCGGTTCCCAAACATATTCCCCTCTATTATTTCCGCCAATGTTGAGAAATATCTATATATATTTTTCTAACGAATGAAAATGTGTTATGARAAATTTATTAAATTGTATAATATATTTATTTTAAAACCCAATACTTTTACTAAAACAGAACAATACGTATAAATATTTGATATCAGTTTTCGAGATATAAGTATCATATGTCTATACATTATTTTATAAAACGTATACAATTGATCAAATGAACAATGTCATTGTTACAACATGTCTTGTGCAACCTACTGATCACAAAAATTAATCTAATGTCGAAATTAAAGTTTTCAGCTTTGATAGTAATCATGATATTTCACAATATTTAACGATGTAATTGTTTTAAAAATTCTACACATAGTTTTATTTTCATAACCTATCTATTATTAATAGGTACTATACCTACCCGAATATTTTATTCGTCAAATAACAAAAAAATCTAAAATATTAAGTAAAAATAAATAATTTATTTAATAAGAATGTTTTTCTACCAGAAAATATGTGTCGATAATTATTTTGTATTTCATATTATTATATCTATTGYGGCATGAAAATGTCATAAATTTCAAAAATTGTGTGGCGGGAGAAAAAAAAMGAGTTTTACCCGTCGTCGAACTCACCTGAGACGTCACGGCGTCGTCCATGGCCTGGGATGGTTGGTTTACCATGCCCAGTAGATACTGATCCAGCCAGCCAGGCTTGTGCAGATCATACGGTTGCTGGAACATTTCGCTGAACCGCCTGGAACCTAAGAACTTGTGACCGGAACTCCAGCGTTCCATGGCGTCGGGCAACAGCGAGTGACCGAACCTAAATGCGGCAGCGCCGAAGGCAGCAGGTACGGTGATGTCCGCATCCTGGTCATAGCTATTGCTAAACCCTTGTGCCGACAGCTCCAGACCGTATTTTTTCATCGTGAACTTTCCCAACAGTTTCGGTAGGAACTCGTTGTAAGTAATGTGCTGGATCATCGCGCCGACGATTCTTCGAGATTCCTGTAAGGCGCGAAACAAATGTGAATTATATAATACTTGGGGAAATATTTATAATAAGCGCGTTTTCGCGGAGATACCGAGAGCAAACAGTTTGCTCAACTTTGCCGATTGCTTACTGATATGGCATATCAAATTTGTTCATCGCCAAAACGCGATTTGGTCTAAAAGTGATAAGTTCATTATAAGCATTATAATAAGCATTATCAAAGGTACCAGAAACACTAAACAACTTGAAATAGTCGTTTAGTGATAGCACCAAACATTTTAGTAAACAGTAAATAGTTTTGACATAAAATTATCGCCAAAACGGATTTTAGTAAACTGTTTACTCTTAGTACCTCCGCGAAAACGCGCTTAATATTACAATATAATATGATGATATTGTACCGGCTCACATTGTTTTAAGACGTTAGGATCAATTTTCTTTTAAAATTGTATTTTCCAGAATAAAACTAAACTTTTGTAGGTTATRCTGCTCGTTATAATAATAACCCAAAAAAGAAAATGCTCAACGCTACGACACAGTGCAGTCATTATAATTTATTATATTATATCTTTTAAATTAATAATAATWTAACTTCTATGTTTGTGCGTGTGTAAGCGATCCACAACCTAGTTTGTTGTAATGATACGCAACCTTTTGCGGTGCCAGGRCAAAACTTATTCAACCAATAACCATAGTCACTCATAGCCTATACGATTTCCATATAAAATATTTTTCAATGTAAATTTTAAGTACGAGGCCCTTGAATTCGCGAGACCCTGGACAAATGCCCTGCTCCCTCCAACACCAGTCCTATCCTACATCTGAGGAAGTGCACCTTAAAGCCAATTTTTTAATTTTGCATTGTTTGTTGGGTGTGATGGTRGCGAAAAACAAATACATTTTGTTTGAACAGAATTTTCATTACTTATATAAAATAAAATATYTATTATGATTTTATATAACTTTAAACTTGAATTTATATTTGATGAAARTCACATTGATTTTAAAAATGTTAAAATTTGTGAACTACTTAAGTTTTCAATATTAAAACAATAACACTCTGGCAACTATATTAGCTGTACGCAACAAAACAATGGATAAGTAATAACGAAAATATTGAATACTCATTGCGCAATGGTAATAACTAATAAGTAGTATGGAAGAGGTAATATGACTATAATCTATATTCTATAGTAGACTGCTTGCTATGTCACGTAGTTATCGGCAACGAATTTCAACGTTCAATTTTGGATATTTATATAATTATGATCATTGATCTCTGCACTCTGGCACCGCTACAATAACAAATTTCAATATTATTATAATTTACGATAACTGAATACACGTACCTAGCCTTTTGTATGATATCGATATAATTATAACTACAAAAACGAAATACAATTTTTATTATTGACAACCATCATTAAGTAAAAGATTTTAACAATTATAGGCTCTAACGGGTGCTRCCGAGTAATCGTATTATATACTATTGTACTAGCCACTATACTATTATCTGACTAATACACAAGTTCATCTGGATTTTTTAAGGGTTCCTAGATCCAAAAATGAGGCTCGAGACAAAATGTTCCCTCTTTCTGAACATCGTAAATAATAATTATGTATTTTATTATGATTAAAAGTGGTAGATTTTTTCTTAAATATACGTGTAAATAATAAAGATTCAAACGTTTTAACATATGTTCTATATAGAATTTTCGTAATTTATATTTATTTTTTAAGTAAATTTAACACTACTAAACATTAAAATTGGTTACCTGGTAAAGTCTTTCGTCGTCCCAATGTGGATTGACCGTGCACAGTTCATCGGCTATTCGGTTGTGTTCTCGGGCGAAAATCGTGTGGAGTACGCCCAGAGCCAGTTGTTCGTTCACGCGATTGTCACCTATATTATATGCATACAAGTAAAACACGCGTTTTTAATCCATGAATAACCGCGATATTGGAAATAATATATATCACATTAATAATTTTAGGTTTAAGTACTACGATGTTTGGGAATTATTAATTAACGATACAGGAACGGGTGGCAGTATTGTGATAAACAGTTCCCATCCGTTC